TTGCCACAAAATGTTTTTTTCGAATTTTTGATTTTTTGGTGTGGTTAAGGAAATACGGTTTTGTCTAGATCTTCTAAAACATGTGACGATTTCTTCTACAAATTCTTTTAGATGATTGTTAAATATCGGTAGATTCCTCTGTTCAGAGTTTTGACTTTAAAAATGATCAAATATATTGCAGTTACAGCATATGAAAATGATCAACATTATAAAGCATACAGTTCGCGTATTCGTTGAAATCAGTCGATGCGCATGCGGTTTTCGTATAAGCCGAATCAATCTCTTCCAATAATTATGCATTTTTCGAGGTTTCATTTAGCGGCCAAAGTATGCCACTCGATGCACTTTACTATGCAAAAATCATAAAAATGGCTAAAAATGACACAACGTGCATACGATTTTTATGCGCATCCGATTTCAGTAATCTCCAATGAAAATACACAAAAGGACGCCTATTTTAAAAGGATCGGTTAAGAACCGCGGATGTGCCTCAACAATCGACTTTGTATAAAATACGCCTATTATTCGCGTATCGATATATTTTTGACCTATTTTCACACAGATTCGCGTATATGATAACACAAGAATGAATGTATAGCGTTTCCAGATTAAATGAAACCTTTTACAAATTAAATGAACCCTTTTCCAAATTAAATGAAACCTTTTCCAAATTAAATGAAACCTTTTCCAAATTAAATGAAACCTTTTCCAAATTAAATGAAACCTTTTCCAATTGGAATGAAACCTTTTACAAATAGAATGAAACTTTTTACAAATGGAATGAAACCTTTTACAAATAGAATGAAACTTTTTCCAAATTAAATGAAACCTTTATTCTTATCCAAGGAAATATAATATTTGCAGTAATTTTAAACCAATATTTGAAAATTAAATCAAAGAATATTAACAAATATAGTTGTATGGCTATGTAATTAACATAAATATTCTTTAATTCGGTGTGATTTTATTTAATATCTTTACTACATAATACTAAATAAATAGTAATACAAACTGGGGTATTTCTTGACATTTGAATAAATAAATATTTTAGAACAAGAATTGAATACCCGGTCCTAAATGTGAAATACATATTTGACTTAATAAATTGTTGATGATAAGATAACTGCTTATCTTAGTGAAGGGGTTGCCGACTTGCAGCTTGTGGGATTTTCAAAACCATGTCCATAACGTAGTTAGAACAATCTTGTCGAGTAAGCTTTTGAATACTTCGCTCGATTACATCAACAATGTTATTATGTTCCATTGAAACGTCACACAGCTCAGCTCTTGCACATAATTTTATTTTTGAAAATGCATTTTCGATTGGATTTAGCATTGGAGAATAAGGCGGTAAGAATTTGAGGTTGCATCTTTTGGATTCCATCAAATTTTGTATGTCATGTCGCTTGAGTATTTGTGTAATTTTTCTCCTTGTTGGGGTAGCCATTTTGTAAAATCTTGAGCATATTTTTGTCTCAAGCCTAATGTTCTGGAGTCATTCATTCGTTCTATTTCAATAGAGGCCATCTTCAACGTAAATTTTAATTTCCGTAATCCATTTTCTATGCAGCTTGTGGAAATATTTATATCATTTTCTTTCAACAGTTTAGTTTTTATGGCTTTGAGGGTAATTCCAGGTTGACTTTCTATATAGAACTCGATCAGACTTAAAACTTGTGGTGTCAACAACTTAGTTCTATTTCCTCCACGCTTATTTTCCTTCAATGTTCCAAAATTTTGTTTGTATCTTCTTATTAATGTTTTTGCTGAATTTATTTTTATGCAGGTTAAATTTGCAGCCTCGGAAATGGTTCTCCCTCTTCATAGAATTTAAATAATAACAATTTCATGTCGTTTGTTATTTTGTTATACTGACCCAATTTGTTTCGGGGTCTTGTAGATGGTAGGTTCTGGAGCATTTCCACTTGCAATACTTGGCGAGGATATTGATTCTTCCTCAGGTTCCCAATTATCAGAGCTTCCCGAGCTAAAATCAGGTTCGCATTAATTTTAATCGTTGCTGTTTTTAAATACAGTGAACTCTCGATAATGTGAACATCCAAAACAGTGAACTCTCGACAATGTGAAGTAATTACAAACAAAATTTTGGAACATTGAAGGAAAATAAGCGTGGAGGAAATAGAACTAAGTTGTTGACACCACAAATTTTAAGTCTGATCGAGTTCTATATAGAAAGTCAACCTGGAATTACCCTCAAAGCCATAAAAACTAAACTATTGAGAGAAAATGATATAAATATTTCCACAAGCTGCATAGAAAATGGATTACGGAAATTAAAATTTACGTTGAAGATGGCCTCTATTGAAATAGAACGAATGAATGACTCCAGAACATTAGGCTTGAGACAAAAATATGCTCAAGACTTTACAAAATGGCTACCCCAACAAGGAGAAAAATTACACAAATACACAAGCGACATGACATACAAAATTTGATCGAATCCAAAAGATGCAACCTCAAATTCTTACCGCCTTATTCTCCAATGCTAAATCCAATCGAAAATGCATTTTCAAAAATAAAATTATGTGCAAGAGCTGAGCTCTGTGACGTTTCAATGGAACATAATAACATTGTTGATGTAATCGAGCGAAGTATTCAAAAGCTTACTCGGCAAGATTGTTCTAACTACGTTATGGACATGGTTTTGAAAATCCCACAAGCTGCAAGTCGGGAACCCCTTCATTAAGATAAGCAGTTACCTTATCATCAACAATTTATTAAGTCAAATATGTATTTCACATTCGGGACCGGGTATTCAATTCTTGTTCTAAAATATTTATTTATTCAAATGTCAAGAAATACCCCAGTTTGTATTACTTTTTATTTAGTATTATGTAGTAAAGATATTAAATAAACCACACCGAATTAAAGAATATTTATGTTAATTACATAGCCATACAACTATATTTGTTAATATTCTTTGATGTAATTTTCAAATATTGGTTTAAAATTACTGCAAATATTATATTTCCTTGGATAAGAATAAAGGTTTCATTTAATTTGGAAAAAGTTTCATTCCATTTGTAAAAGGTTTCATTCCATTTGTAAAAGGTTTCATTCCAATTGGAAAAGGTTTCATTTAATTTGGAAAAGGTTTCATTTAATTTGGAAAAGGTTTCATTTAATTTGGAAAAGGTTTCATTTAATTTGGAAAAGGGTTCATTTAATTTGTAAAAGGTTTCATTTAATCTGGAAATGCTATATATGAAATCAATTCAAAGAAAAACGCGATTATATACGCGAATTAGTCAAAATTAGTTTTTGCAGTTTTTCCTACGAATTGAACATGGATGGGCTCATTAGATGTGGCACGTAAAAAAACTAAAATCACGCGGGGTTGCACGGAATTTGAATGGACTTTCTTAATTTTAGACTCAAAAAATATGTTTTTTATAAAAATGTACGCACCAAATTTTCGTCTTTGGATCCCTATTACAAAGATGCTACGGTGGGCACATTCATGAGATATACACTAAACGAAGCAAAATCACGAGTTCTACAATCCTATAATTAGTTTAGACAATTATCTGAATGCGCGTCTTAATTATAAGAAAAATTCAAAAAACACCGAAAATCCAGCTTCAAAATGTCAGCATCCTATTTTGGGTGGATGCAGTCAAAAAATCATACATTAGAACCATATTGTCCATGGGGTATTCTGCAAGTTAGTCACTGATCATATGTGCATGCGTTGTGTAGTTTAGCCACAAATCAGGAAGGAACACAAAAAAAACTCGTTGGCTTCAACACATTTTCACCCATTTTTTTACATTACCACCATCACAGCTTCCACGCATCTTATTATCGTTTACATCATATTGACACTTTTCGAAAACATTACACTTCTTTTCAAGCGGTGGTTTGAATTGTCCTTCGAAAGTGGGCATATTTGAACATGTCTTAAAGGATTTCATTATAATTTTTTTGTAGGCACCATTCAAGTAATCATAAAGATGCTGACGTTCGACTATGATAGGTAATATACGAAAATCGCGGACTCCGTTCTCACTGCGATATGAAAAGTTTTCCAGTTGAAGAAATCCAGACTTAATTCAGTGTGCTGTGCAAAATTTCGTGCAAATCGAAAGAAATGTATTGGATTTAGTGCACCATTTACATAAAATCGGACGAAAATGTATATGCAAGCCATATCTAAATCTGAACCGATTTTCACTAAACATGGCAGACATGACTCCAGGATCCATTCAGTACGCTATGCCAAATTTCGTGCACATCGAAAGATATATAGGGACTTTGGTGCACCATTTACACTAAATCGGACAAAAATATATATAGGAGATATATGTAAATCTGAACCGATTTTCCCAATTTCAATAGGGTTCGTCCTTGGGCCAAGTTTCATCCAATTCGGATCATAAATGCGACCTGTACTTTGTTTACAATTTAACACCAATAAACGGACATACAGACAGTCAATCGGACAGACGGACGGACAGGCATGCATCGACTCAGAAAGTGATTCGATGCATATTCTCCAAAGGAACTATGGGTCTACCTCGTTTCCATTTGCATGTTACAAACATATGCACAAAGACATAATACCCTGTACCACAGTATGGTGAAGGGTATAATAACGATTTCGCTGAAAAATAATTTTGTAATCTTATGCGAACAGACCATTCAATTTGAACTAAACTTTGCACAATCTAATATTTGAGCCTAAAATATATATTAATTTTCAAAGATGGGACCCATCGGTACACTTTTTTCTAGTACTACAGAGTATGATAGCAATATTGCTGAAATTTTATTTAATAATAGCATAAGATTTGCACTAAACTTTGCACAAAAGATAACAAATTTTATGTTTATATAGGTCAATTATTTTTTTAGAACTGCAACTAGGATAATGTACAAAACTAACGCAATAGGCTAATTTTGATTTAGTGATATAATGTCCATCCATATATAAATGAAAACATTTGACCCGTGGATGTACAATCGAATTGTTTAATAAAATGCAAACTGGCTCGAAGGTTATAATACCTTCCTCGTGGAAGGTATTGAAGATTTGATTTTCATTTATCTTTTCAGGTGGAAGTCCTTAAATATCGTAGTGAAAATGGTGTTGGAGACTCTCGCATTTTACCTTTTGAATTGGAACGTCAACATATTTATGATTACATGGATAGTTTCTACAAAATGTATGTAATGAATTCCATTAAGGCCTGCTCAACATTGCCCGTTTTCGAAGGACCATTCAAGCCGCCCTTCGAGAACAGAGTCTATGTTTTGGACAAACGTCAGTTTAATTTGGACGATTATCCGAATGTTTTAGACGGTTTTTATAAAGCGGCTCTACTTGGACATGGTGAAGTTACTTGGTCCATGAACTTTACAGGCCAATTGAGTTAGAATAGAAAGTGTTTCGGTGCCGATTCGAAATATCAAATTGAGTCCAATTGGATAAAAAATGAAGTTATTTTTTTCATTATACACATACTAGCTGACCCAGCAAACATTTTTTTGCCTTATCAATACATCATGAATATAAGGTTGGTAAAAACATTTGCCACTATGTTTATGTCAATAAAAAATATTAACTGGTACCCGAATGCAGGCCCGAGCACTTAACAGTTTATAATTTTCTAGAACTTATTTCACCATTTTTTTTTCAAAAGAAGTTTATGATTTGTTTGATCATGTTATTACATTATCTTATTTTTCCCATCTTGAAGGATTCTTAATTTCAATATCATTTTGTTCATGTCCAAGTGCCCTTTTGATTTTTATATTGAAACAGTATAACTCGAAAAATTTTAGATTTGGCATAGAAATTTAGTGGTTTCAGTTTTAAACAAATTGTTAATTAGTTTTTAGATTACCGTTATAGATTTGTATATGTTTGCTATGTATTTTATAAATAGTTTTTTACAGTTATTGGGGAAGAGATTGGCCAATGTTGACGCCGTATACCTTATTTTAATTGTAAATGCCTGTTTTATATCTTAACTCTAAATCGTGAAATGTTGTAATCGGATTTGTTATATCCTCACATTTTTAACAACTTGACTTTAATTTAACATTTGAATAAGTTGTTGTTTAAGGTTACATAGGTCCACATCCAAATTTCAAGTTGTCGGCCAAAAAAAGAAACATTGTAAAAAAATACTTTTTTGACAAATATGAAAATGAGATTTTATATCCAACAGCTTGGGCTCTATAGAAAATAAGACAAAACTTCAAATATCTGACTGGAATACTAATACTGCTATCATTACATTATTAGTATTAGAACATACAAATTTTCCATTATTTGAAATTGAGTTTTGAAATATTGTTTGAATATGTAAAAAATTTTATATATTTACTGTAAATGAAAAATTCAAGTCCGTCACTAGACAATTGCTAGAAATTACTATTGTCTACCCAAGACCTCATCTTAAAATTTAATGTACTTTTGGAAACGTATTTCGATTTGCCGAATTTGGGTCAAATATAACATTCCATTGAATAAACAAATGTTCATAATGTTAACACTTTGTGTTGGAGGTGCTGCACAACAGCAGCACCGCATTCAAGCTTGATACATGTAAAGTAAATATATTATTAATTGGGTGACGAAGGGGATGATAGACACCAAGCAATGGCTCTGATTGGCTTTAAAATGGCAAAACCCAGGCCTATCTAGGCTTGTTCCTCTCTCATCGCAATTGCGGACACTGACGTCCCGTGTTGTCACCTGCGGTAGCTATTTTCATCACCCGTTGAAGTAGTGAGCTGAGTGCCGCGAGTTCACCCATAAGAACTATAAAAAAATGGGTTGAGGCGTCATGTTAGTGCACACACTCCGAATCCCCACTTACTATGAAAGAGTAAAGAAAAAGAAAACCAAACCCCCCTAATGATGACAACCCCCGCAAACGTATAAAGGACCACGATTTGCGAATCTGCACTTGAAATGTGCGCACTTTGTACAGAACAGTTGCAGTCCTTGCAGCAAAAAACATGGTAGTTAGCAGCACATGATTCGATCATCTCGATATACACAAGGCCACCTGGATTTCTCCTGATCTCCTGATCAAGATAAATCAAATTGATCATGTTGTGATAGACGAAAGGCATACATCCAGTGTATTAGAGGAGGAGGAGCGAATATCGATTCGGACCACTACCTTGTAGCAGCCAAGGTTCGCACTCGTGTTAATGTTGCAGCAAAGATGCGACCTACAGCACGAAAACTCGACGTTGAAAAACTGCAAACACAACTGATAGCCGAGGCCAACTCCCCTCAAATTACCTACCTGCTTGACGAAAGCACTTTTTGTCCCGATAATAGTATAGAAGCACAATGGCAAAAAATTGTCCACTCCAAACAACACTTGGGTACCAAAAACCACCACCAAGAATATGAAAATCGCAGGGTATATGGAAACCCTGTAGACAGTAACAACACGTAATGCGATGGAGAAACGTATTTTCAGAAAAAGAAGAAAGAACGAGAAAAACGAGAACGTGAGTAAATCGAGATGTACAGGAATCAGAATGAAGCCCGGGAATTTTACCAACGAGTATAACACCAAACCGAAGGTTTTGGTGCAGGCACATCCTCCTGTAGAGATAAAGAAGGAAACCTGGTGACAGATACAGACAGCGTGTTGAGGATCTGGAAGGAGCATTTTGAAAAGTTTTTGGTATCAAATAGTGGCGGTGAAGAAGATACCCCAGAACCAATAAGAGATGGCGGTATAGAGTGTATACCATCTAGCCAAGATGAGGTCATAAAAACAATTAATCGGCTCAAGAACAATAAAGCAGCAGGAGCCGATGGGTTACCAGCCAAACTATTCAAGACTGTTGGTTAGATGTTGGTGCAATTACAATTTAGCTAGAGGAATGCATGCCCAACGATTGGAACCGCAGCATCCTGTATCACGTGCACAAAAAAGAAGACAAGACGATATCTGCCAACTATAGAGGAATTGGCCTTTTTCCCATCGCATATAAAGGTTATCAAGTGTGCTGTGCGAACGATTAAAGCCAACGGTCAATGACATTATTGGACCATAGCAATGCGGCTTCAGACCTGGCAAATCCACCATTGACCAGATTTTTACTCTGCGCCAAATCCTGGAAAAGAACCACTACAAACACGTCGACACATACCATCTATTCGTCGAATATAAAGCCGCATTCGACAACCCTATCCATTCAGAGGCGTTCGGCATTCCTATAATGGGTCGAACATTGCGAGCGGCCACCTTTTAAAAATTGAGAAGGAGTCTACCAATGTGGGACTGGCAGTAAACGGCGGGAAGACCAAGCTGATGGTATAAACGCGCAAGACGTCCAGTAAACTCGGGCCAACTGTGGAACTTGAGAACTACAGCTTCCATGTAGTTGAAGACTTTATACCTTGGTACGGCCATAAATAAAGCGAATGACATCAGTTTTGAAATTCGGAGAAGGATTGCGATGGCCAACAGATGCTACTATGGTCTAAGTAAGCAGTTTAGAAACAATGCCACCTCCCGCCAGACCAAACTCACACTTTACAAGACGCTGATACTACCCGTGCTGTTATATGGATCTGAAGCATTGGTACTTGCGCAAGCAGATGAGGAAGCTTTTGGGATGTTTGAAAGAAAAATTCTCCGAAAGATATACGGGCCGATATGCGTCGACGGTGAATATCGGCGTCGACATAACCAGTCGTGCGAATGAATGAGAATCAGTGATGGTCTCTATGACAATTTTTTAGGTTTTCGACAGTCAAAAAGTTGTAAACGTCCATATTTTTGCCTTCATACTTATTTTACAAAACTGTTTTTATTTCTGAAGAGCATACGTTAAAATTTGGAATTTAAAAATTAAGAGAAATAATAAAATTAAAAAATTTAATTGGCAAATGTCGTACTTACAGTACAGGCATGTTGTATAACAAATTGGATATGCACAAAAGTTTTGAAATTGTATTATAAAGTCATTCCACAAGTAAAGTCATCTCACAATACACAAACGTTGTCAATAATAATATCAGAATATAATTATAGTGCATATTAACACACCAAATTTTAATTTTGTTCAATTATTAAAATTGCTAAATTAATCAGACAATAAACTGTACGACATAAAAGCATCTACCATACAAATTAAACACTAACACCATTTTACGAGTGTTGCATGGAATTATAATTTCATATGACACATGTCAAACATTAGCCATTTGCGGGGAAAAAATAAACAATTAAGTTGATACATTTAGCGGGAGAAACAATTTTTTTTAACATCAGTAAACATCATATAAATTGAAGAATTTGCAACACCCACATAATGCACAACAACCAGTGGGGTTTGGGGAAAGTTCTGGGGCTACCGGCGGTAGACCATCACATTCCTTTTGGTATGGTTTTACTAAAAGAAGCGAAAAAGGAAAAACAATTGCACAATGTACAAAATGTAAACAATTTATTCGCAACACATCAATGCATAGGATGCAATCTCATCGGTAAGTTTTCTATTTCACAATATTATTTGTAATAGAAAATTAACTATATTTTTTTTTTTAGGAATAAATGCAGGATTGGCCAACATGTCGAAGGAAATGATGCTGAAGTTTCAGAACCAGATGTAGATATTCTAAAATATATAAAAAATACACTTTGAGAATAGTAAATATATGTTTTTATTTTTAGCCATCGTCAAACAAACAAACAAAAATTAAATTTTTTTTCTTAAAATAAATACGGCGGATAAAGCTAAGCTTGACATTCGAGTCGCTAGATTTTTCTTCGCCTGCAACGTTCCTTTTGTTGCTGCTAGTAATAAATACTTTAAAGAATTTTGCAAGGAAATGCAACCCTTATATAAAGCAGGATCACAGTTGGATGCAGTGCACCTGGAGCAAATAGAGTTAAACGCCAAATTTTTAAAATAGGGTGCATATTCTGTGATGCTCATTGGTGGATGGATAAAAATGTAGCAGCGTTATTACATAATTGTGACCATCGAATTTTTCTGGAATCCAACGTTTTTCCAACATGAGGGAAACTTCAGAAAAGCTGACTGAAATGGTGAAAAAGCTGTAATTTTAGCCAAAGATCGTTATAAACTAGAAGTTTTCGCTGTAGTAACAGACAATGCAGCAAATATGGTATCAATGGGTCGAAATGTTGGACTAATTCAAACAACGTGCAATGCCCACATCTGTCCAAGGATATAATTTGAAATTTCGGTATAAGTCTAGAATTAAATTATCTTTGTGCACCTGCAAACAATCAAAAAAGATCTACAAGACTATTTTCTCAACAAAATGAAGGAGGACGTTCCCGAAAATGCTTCAATCCTTGGAAAAGTGAATAAAATTATTAATGAATTTAAAAAAGTTAATCTTGAAAAGAAAATATTAAGCTTGG